CACTTTGATGTTGTAAACCACGAATGGATCAGGACCTTGCATTTAGAAAACATTGGCCTACTATGGAGTCTACCAAAGAAGCGTTCCCTCTGTCTCTACCCCGTCGTCTTCTCAAAATTCCACTGGAAGTGCTGATGCTTCCCCCGTGCCTAGCAATCGGAGCAGACTCCGTTTTTCTGAAAGTCCCTCTGCGCCAAGAGTTCTCCTAGGTGCCGCCCCTCCACCCCTCCTTGGCTGCCCAGGAAAGCCTAAAGCAGAAATAAGTCGCTGGTGTTCTCAAAATCCAAGTGTCTCTTAACGTGGGTTGAGGAAGAAATAAGAAGAAAGAGGAGTGGAAGAAATGAACCTGGGGCAGGGGCTCGAGGGACGTGGACCAAAGCGTGGGAGCTGATCTCGCCTAGGTTCCGGGTGAGTGGTCTGAGCCGAGCCCAGTCCAGCTGAGCCAGACTGAGCTGGGCTCAGCCAAGGAGAGGGCAACCAGCTGCTGGCAGTCTGCGTCTTCTAGGCAGTAAGACGCGCACCCGGAGACAGAGGATCGGTGGTCCCACGGTCCCTCGCTCGGGGGCCAGCACTGATCTGATCCGGCCACCAGACAAGTCCCTGCCTCCGGCTCGCGGGACAAGGCTTATTACACGTGTGGCGGGCAGACCTGCCAGGAGGGCGCTGGGCTCTGCTGTGTCACCCGTGTGCGGCGCGGGTGGGGCCTGGCGGTGCGGGCCCCTCTCCGGGTCACGGTCGCCCTGTGGACACACGGCTGACTCGGACCTGCTAGCCCCTGTCCCACCCTTTTGTGGGCCCCTAGAACTGCAACCAGAGGTGGCCTCAGAACCGGGTGAGAGGACTCCCCCAGCCCGGCTCGTGGCTGGGGAGACCTAGAACTGACCTCGGAGCGGCGGGGGCTCAGAAAGGCCGGGGACGCGCTCGGGCGCACGGGTTCGGCGCCCTCACTCGCGCCCTGACGCTGGGCACTCTACCGCGTGGGCGACTGGAACCTGTTGCGGCCTCGCGCTCTGGGGACGCGGGAGAGCTGGGGAGGCAGGTGAGGTGGGGGCGGGGGGCGGATGGGGTTGAGAAGACCGAGGTGACAGTTAACCCGGACGAGTCCAGGCTTCTCACGGCCGAGTCTCCCCGTACAACTCCAGAATCTCCAAAAAGCAGTGGGCAGGGCAGGGGCGCTGGCGGCGGCTCCACCTTCGCCCCAGGCCCAGCCACGGGCACTGTCCTCCCTGGCAATCTGGAGACCTCTCCAGCAGACCATTCGGAGAAGGCAGGGGGGCGGTGGCCTAGTTGGGAAGACTTGAGTCTGACTGCGTGCCGCGAGCGTCACTCTCTGGAGTTCTCCTGCCACCATCTCCGGGACCCAGAGCGCACGTCGCGGCGAAGGACCGGAGGGACTGGCTCTGTCCCCGCCCCGTGCGCCCACGCGGGGGTTCGTCTTGGCTTTCCTATGGGCGGACCCCTCCAAGAGACGCCCTCGGACGGAAGCGGGACTTTGCCAAAGGGAACTCCAAGTTCAAGTCAGAGAAGAGACCTTGAAGTCCCAGCGGTCACTAGAGCTGCGCCCAGGGACCATACATACTAAGGGCAACCGATTGAAACGGCCTGTTGCAGTGTGAGATGCCCTGGTTAGTTTCTGGTAGAAACAAAAAGTACAACTGAAGGGCAGACTCTAGCGTGCTTAGTTTGATTGTTGAAAACGAATTACTAAAAATCGGTGACCCCGCTTGGAATTCATTTCTCGCTTTCCCAGTAATGTCAGCCAATCAACTGAATCCAGTGAATGCGGAGACCAGAAACCTGACCGCTCGGCTTGTCCGTTCCAGCGCCGATGGCGGCAGCATCTTTTCCCCGAAGATGGTGGAAGGCAGCGAGCGCTTTCTTTTCTCATGTGACCCCTGCACAAGCTTTTGTCCTGGCCCCTCCAAATTTAAGTCAAGTCCTGGCCTTGAGAACTTGGGATACTCGACCAGCTCCCGAGCGCTCCTCCGAGAGCAGAGTTCTTATTCTCGAGTAGTGGAAACAGAGGAAACCAGGAAAGCAAAGAAAGAAATCACCTTAAAACCACTTTCAGAGCAGGAGGTCTTTGAGATAGTCACTCCCAGACCTCTCTGTTCAGTCATCAAAATATACTTGAAAAGTTTTTTGATTCATAAAACTATGCCCACCCTTTACACAATACCCACCTCCCGCCCTACCGCAAGCTTCCATTAAATCTGTCTCCATTTTTAGGGGTTTCGGGCGCACAGGTCCCTAGGCAGGCGTCTCTCTCAGAGCGAGCGGAGCCTGGTACCCGAGACCTGGTCCCTTGCTTTGCTTAGTCACCTCGGCGCTGCTGCGCGGCGGAGGAAAAAAAAAGAAATGGAAGTGTGTGAGGGGCAAATTGGAATTAGTAGGTAGTGGGGCGAAGAGGCACCACCAGAGAGATGCTTGGGAAGAGTGAGTGCCCTGCTGTCGCCTCCCAGCATTGGACTTGTCGGGAAACTCTGGGATCAGAGTATTGAAAATAAACAAAGCTATTCCCTTGCAGATATTGGTACCTGGAAAGTGCTTCTCCAGTGCCGACCCCTCGTTTTTTAAAAATGTAGGTAACAGGAACATGGACCAAGGCAAGAGAGGCCCCAGGCAAAGTGTAATGGAAGCGTTGCGTGACACTCTTAAATTGGCAAGATCCCCACACCCCGTATCTCGGTATCTCCGTGCCGGGCTCTTGACACGTTGGGAACCAATGGCCCTTAAGACCTCGGACCGAAAATTTTAAGGGGGTGCCCAGACTCCCCATCTCTGGGAATGAAGTTGGGCCCCAGAGAAAAGTACACAAGCTAAAGGTCGTGAGGGTGCAGGCGTCATTGCTGGGTGCTATAAGCTCCCTGGGCCTTGCATATCTTTTTAGGTAGAATCAGCACAAAGATCTAAACTCTGCGAAAGCGGACCATCTGCGAGAGAGGGCTGCAGAGGCAGCCAGAGTGGCTTCAGGGGTCACCCGGAAAGGCAGAGGCAGAACCCCATCCAGGAGCTGGCGCGAGCGCCGCTCACCGGTTGCTTGAACACAAGCATCCTCAAAAAGTGAAAACACTCGCGGCAACCACCCAACATGGGTGTAAACACTGCGACGACTTCAACATTCCATCTTTTCTCAAACGCTGAGGCGTCTATCGGGCGATGACGTCGGAACAAGGATCCTGTATTTGCCATAGGGGAACCCGCACACGGTAATCAAAAATTAAAAGAAGTGGTGGTGAGGGGGCAGATGAAGCGTCCATTATAAAGTTTGATCTCTTTCTAAGGAAGTTCCGTGTAACTGTGGGTTTTTACATGCCTTCCTTTTCCTGAACTTTAGGCTTAGAAGGACAAGAAAGTCCTCGGCTTCTCTGGTCCCAGAAGAGGCTTCGAAGACGTGTCCGTGCAGAGGCGTTTTCCTTCTTGTAAAATTCGATGCAGAGTGCCAGATTGTAGAGCGACTCTCTTTTTAGCAAGAAAGCAAGAGCTGCTTTGGAACTTGGAAATCACAACTGAATGTGTGGGACCTGGCGCAGCCAGGAAGCAGGCGTGACACCCTTCCCTCCTTGGATCCCAGATTCTCAGGAGATGGACTACCCGACACCCCATTGGCCTCTGGTGAGGCTCAGCCTCTTCCTTAAGGGAGTGTCCACATCCGAGTTCCTTTCTGTGTTTAACTCGCGGGACTCGAGGTCGGGATGCAATCTTCTCGGGGCTGCGGACACCTGGGAGCAGAGCTCTGACAGCTCTGCAGTCTCCCAGCCTTCCCCGGTGCTTTCGCTTTCTCTGCTGATTAGTTTGCGGCTGTCTGCACAGAAGAGGTGACATTCAGGAAACCGCTCGCCTCGTACTTCCAGGAAAACCAGAAAGTCGGACATTTGCCTTATTATTTAATCGCTTATGTGAGCATTCAGAATGACCCCAAGAGATAAGCATCACTTTAAATGAACAAGGGAGTTGAGCCGTGTGCCCTCTTCCTTTTGGGGGTGGGGGGATGGGAGAGCAAAAATATGTCTTTTAAAATGAGAAAACAATAAGGTGAAAGAAAGATAACAACTCAAGGGCTCGGGTGGCAATTTAGTGTTCTAAGTCTGCATTTTAAAAACAATAAAGCTCTCTGTAAATTTCACTGACCTAGACCGCCATCTGTAATTCACCAGGGTCAGCTGTGAAGCCGGTCCCAAGCTCTATGAATTCACAGTTGACCTAAGAAGCTCCCTAGACCTCTCTGCCCAAAGACCCAGCGCACTGAACGGCCCCCATCAGCTAGCTCTACAGCCCCAAGTTTCCTTTCTTTGCTGAAAGGTATTGCTGAATGAAAGCTTAGAGGCCTGTGTCATAACTTTCTTATACCAGACTGAGCACCTGGCAACAGATATGGTATTATTTATCTGTGAAGCTTTTAAGGTAGAAATATTGTTCTAAAATCACAAATTGAACTTTACCACTATCCACTGATGACACGGAAGTTGAAAGCAACTCCTCCCGAGTTCTGAGTTCAGCTACGTGCCAGAGCCTAGAGGGTCTAAAGGTTTGACTCTTCAATCGAGGCCCTTCCCAATAATTAAAAGTCGAGGGATTGGGAAGAATCAGAGATCCCATATAACAAGATTGAAGTCCCGTATTTACTTCTGAGTAATAAAAAGATACTTCCTAAACACTGGTCAAGACAAAAATTTGAGTGATTTCCTGACCTTGTAAAGATTTAAAAGTCTCCTGAACTTTTTTGAAAGCTGCGTTTACCAGCAAAGTTAAACAAAAGAGTTGAGATATTCTCAAGTGATTCTGAGAAATGCAGGTCACTAGATGGGGAAAATTCTGGTTAAAGAAAAGTACTGTACTGAATTCTTTGGAAAATTAGTTCCATCCCCTAGTTCCTTTAGCCGGGACAGCTCTGGACTGTCAGTTTGAGACTCTGGTGGTCAGTAAGTGACCTCCAATTCTCTTTCATGTTGCTGTTTAATCACCACTTTTTCCTGACCCAGAAAGAAGACAACATTCTGTTCATTTACATGGTTTATTGTTGTAAACATTAAAATTGTCTTTCTTAAAGAAAGAATTTATCAGAAAAAAAATCAGCGTCTCTAACTGTCATACACCATAGAAAAAAAGGCAGTGACTCATATAATGTGCCATACTGGAAATATACAAAGAAAATACTACAGAATATGGCAATATTAAAATTCTTATCCAAACATAAAATAATATATTAACTGACAATTTAAGACATTTTTTAAAAAACAAAAAAATTCAAAGTGCTCAGTAATTTCCAGGGAGTTATGTATAGTATAAGCACTCTGGAAACAGTCAAAAGCTGCTGCATGCAAGTTTTGTTTAGCTTTAGACAACAAAATAATCAAGATATAAACTTTCTTTTATCAACATCAACAATACATACAACACTTACAAACAAGGAATGTTGGACGGTGTTACAAACACTATGTGCCCCTTTAGTCAGGATTTTCTGATGTATAATACTGTGCCCACCTATTTTACAATTGAGAAAATGTTTAAGCTCAGATAACTACCAATCTTTATAAAATCTAACAGACTACATAGTGTCTGAAATACTATTTATATAATATAGACATTACTGAAGTAGCAAGTGCCTATAACATTTTCAACCTAGAATCAACATGCGTGTCCCTTTCATATGTAGTTATTTTTTTTGCAAACACACTTATCTTTTAGAATTTTTAATATTTATTCATAAATAGGCACAAAATAATTTAAAAAGCCAAACTGCATTGGGTAAATTTACAAGCCTTAGCCTTCTTCAACTCATGCCACCCACGCAACATTTAGTTTTACTATATATTACAGCTTTCTTTACAGCAGAAAACTTTGAAATCTTTTAAAGGGAGATATTGTGGGTCCCCTTAATGTGTGTGTGTGTATACACGTGCATGACATTTGGCCAAACATTTCCCATTACACATTAGGAATCTTTCTTCTGAACAATAAACTGATTTTTAAACTGGTAATAAAAGTTTATACCACTGTATTGTGTGTAGTAGTCCGAGTTCTAAATCCAGGATGCCCCAGAGCCAAAATGCCCTTTCAGGTTCTGCCTGCAGGTTAGGAAATAGCAACAGTTTTGTTTCTTTCTGTAGAGATCAAAGGGCTAGGGGTTTTGCAGAGGGGTGGGGTGGCTAGAGCTGAGGCAGTTCAGGGTACTATCTCTGCCCATATGACTTTTCCCCCCTGGACAGCTGAGATTTCATTCCAGTTCATTTAAATTACATGGGGGGGGGGGAGTCTTAGAAAGGTAAAGTGTCCAGGAAAAGTTTGTCAATTATTGCTGGCGGTGGTACCAAGTCTTCCAGTTTCAGGTAGAAAATGCGTTGTAGCCCCTGTGTGCAAAGGGTGCGGAGTTCTGGGAGCTTCCCCAACAGTTTGGACAAATAGTTGGGGCGATTCAACCCCCCATTATTGAAAGTCACATGGTCTTTGAGACAATTTACAATCTTGTTCTGCAACTCTTCCACTCTCTTGGGTTCCTTGAGCCCGTGTCTCTCTGTAGAAAACACAACCAGAAACAAAAGAAAGCACAAGGCAGTTAGCACACACTGGGAGAACCAAAAGGGAGCACTGGCTAGGGACAGCTGGGGCAAACCGGCTGGGCAGTTGGAGAGAAGCGTCCTGCACCTGTGGTACTGACCTGTGACCATAGCCAGCGCAGCAATGCAGGAGAAGGCAGAAATGTCGATGTTCATATTCTGCAAGTTGGAGGAGAATTCAACAATGGAATCAATCCATTCCCCAAAGCCACGAACGCATTGCAACCTGTGCAAGACCACCCCATTGCAAAAGATGAGTTTACCCTCCACTGGGTTGGACCTGCAATTAATACCAAAGAGAAGGTGGGGGTGGGGGGAGAGAAAAAGAGAGAGAGAGAAGCTAAACAACTAATTACGTGAAGAGCAATAAATGAGGGATTTAAGAGGCACCTAATTACCGAAGAGTTAATAAAATGTAGACCAGTGGACCTTGAAAGGGTTTAATTTCATAACAATCAAGAACGCCCCCTATCCCACCTCCATTCCATTCATCCGAGGATCCTTGGTTGCTCCTTCCCTCACTCTGCTTTCTGTCTTCTCCCCTTTCTTTCCTTCTTTGGTTCCTGTTCTGCTGTCCCTTTCTATCCTTGTCTATGCCCCTTTCTTTCCTTCTTCTTCACGTCGGCCATCCCTCCCTTGCTTGCTTTCCCTCTATTCCCCCTTTTCCCTGCCTCCCCAATTGGTTCCTCCCACATTACCTGTAAGCTAATCTCAGGACAAACAGTTCCAAGAAAGCCGATTCGAAAAGCAGGTCTTGGTCAGCTTTGGGCAGGTCTGCAAAGCCGGGGATCTTCTCAGCCCAGCCCCTGATGATCTCCATGGAGCCAGTCAGGAGATCATAGAATTGCTGGATATGCTGGGTGTCATCTCCACTCATCTGATAGTCAGGGTTCGCCTGGAACTGGAATTTCATTTTAAAAAGCACTTAATGAGGTTCTCTAAAATATATAACCCGTGAAATTGCTAACCCCGTTTCTAGTAGGGAGCCAGATTTTTATAACAATTAAACCTCTCTCTGACCAGTAAGGAAATTAGATGTTCCGGGGCAATTAATTCAATTAGGGATGGTGCTATGAGGTCGCTGCTTTAAATATGTAAATTACCATTTCCATACGGACTAAATACAGTGCCTTCCAGCCCTGGGACACGTTCACTCTTATCTCCACAAAACAATTGACACGTTAGTATTCATGCCAGTCCCAGAGTGGGTCCCGGGCAGAGCCGCCCTTTGCAGATCTTAATAAAATTGCAGTCGCTTCTAGGCTTGCCTGACATACTTCCTCCAATTAAAGCCAGCACATTCCTCACAGCTGGAGTAAAAGAGGAATCTGACCACTTGCTCCCCCACCCCAGTGCCATTCCTTATGCCCTCTGTGTTTCCCTTCTCTAATCCCCAGGCAGGACGGAGTTTCTCATCTGGGAGTTGCCAGAGAGGGTGGGATTAAAGCCTCTCTGGGGAACTAGGGAGAAAGTGGAAGTGGAATGCTCAACTGGCTCTGGTTTTTCCGCGTTAGGTGCGCATATGTGTGAGTGGCTTTGTGTACGTGTGGTTCCACCAGGAGATCACAGAAGTCCGACCTCTATGGGTGTCACCTCTTCTTCCCTCTGCCCGTCCTCAAGGTCTGTCTACACCCGCGATGGCCCCATTGATCTGTCTCCAAAGGCCCTCCTGTCCAGAGCTGTGAGGTGGGCCACCTGGCCAGTGTCCTTTACCGCCCCCACCCCACCCCACCCATCTGCTGATAGTGATTGGGGGAGGGGGATCCTGCCCATCAGTCTGTTTGTCCACAGGGCACCCACCGCCAGCTTCTTACCCTGGAATAGTCCAGGCTGGTCATAGCCGGGTTGGAGTCGACATGGGCCCTCACGAGGGCACTGATCAGACTCACCGGGGGCGAGGGGGGAGAGGGCTCCTGGGGGCTCTTCGGTTTCGAGGGCAAACGACCTCTCCGGCCTTTTAAACTGTCGGTGCGAACCACTGCAAAGAAATAGGCCAGTCAGCGCCGCTCCGGGGAGCTGGGCCCAGCTGCCGCCTTGGGTCCCTCTTCAGGAAAGGGGAAAGACGGCCGCCGGCTGGTGCCCCGCTCGGCGGCGCAGGGTCCCACGGCTTGTAAAGCCTTGACTGACGAGAAGTATTAAAAATGCGGGGTTATTTTTTTTTCATCCTCCCAATGGGTCCTATAGTCAAAGGCGAGATGGGCCAGGCGGCTTTCTCTGGGGGAGGCTGGATGAACAGACAGCTGCGAGGTCATAGAGGCCAGACTGGGGGAAGGGGGGCCGTGCAGTCCTGGCTCTGGGCAGTGGGCCTCCTGTGCGCGAGCCATCCTTTACCCAGGGCGCCGCCTGGGAGGGTGGGCGGCTTGTCCCGACCTACCTTCTTTGACCATGCCAACAGCCAAGCACTTCTGAAACCGGCAGTACTGACAGCGATTCCGGCGTCGCTTATCCACTGGGCAGTTTTTATTTGCCAAACACACGTATTTTGCGTTTTTCTGCACCGTGCGCTGCAAAAAGAGGCAACATGGGCCGAAAATTAATATTTCTCTTTCTTGAAAACTCAGCAACCCAGGCAGCCCAGAGATAATTTCTCCAGGGCCGAGGTCTACCCTTTCTGTCCACAAACAACACACAAGTTCACACACTCCTTTTATCTTTCCTTTTCTCTCGCTCGCTCTCTCTCTCTCCCTTTTCATTTTTGCTCCCCCAGGGCATTTAACAGAAGAAAATTGATAGCGTTAACATTTGAGCTAACCTTGCCGCTCCTGGCTGTGTTTTATATGCCAAGAGAAGGAGCCGGAGACGCTCGGTAAATACAAATCCGTGGGCATTCATATTATTTACATTCCTTGGAGACCTTCTCTATTTAAAATGATAAGATTATTCAATCAGGATGGCGAAATAAAGAGATCACTTAATTTGACCATAGGGAATTCTGTTCCACTTGGTTAGCTCAGACACGGTTCTCTGTCCTAACCAATTTCAATCTGAACAGGGAAGACAGCTCCTAGCACATGCAAATGACCCTCTTCCAACTCTGACTCCAGCCACTTCGGGAGAGGGGGTGGGGGGGTGGGCGTCTAGGTCAGCCGCGTTCCGGGGATTCGACCTCCCCACTCGCAGTCCTAAGACACCCGGAAGTGCCCCTGCCCCCGTTGCTGCCTGAGGGGGTCTGCTGGGCTGCGCCCCCGGACCCCACCAAGTTGGGCTGAGCTACAGGCGTCAGGCGGAGCGCTCCCTCGGGGGTCTCGGGCCATCGAGAGAGACCGGCCTGCCTCTTCCACCCTCCCCACGCTCACCTTAAAAAAGCCTTTGCAGCCCTCGCAGGTGCGCACGCCATAGTGCTGGCAGGCCGCGTTGTCGCCGCACACGGCGCACAGCCCCTCGTTGGAAGGGGAGCCCCGCGACGGCGGCGAGGGCACCTGTGTGTCCAGCAGCTGGGATGCGTGGCCAATCTGTAAGCCGGGGAAGCCCATGGAAGCGGGCTTGCGGATGGGGTTGGGGACAGCGAAGGTCTGCCCGTCCACCACGTGGTGGCTGCCCGCTGGCTCCGGGTTCATGGGGACGTGTAAGGGCCCATCGAAGCGCATCTGGCAGCTGGACACCGGGGTGCCAGGTGGCGACTGCTTAAAGGAGAAAAGGGAGAGTCGGGAGACGGGCGTTTTCCTCTGCTCGATCATGTGCGTGGTGGCCACGTAGTTCTGGTGGAAGTTGTGGAGCGACCCCGGGTCGTCCCACATGGGACTGTGCTGCACCTGGAAGCCCGGGGTGGTGGGCGTCGGGGGCGAAGAGGGCTTGTAGTAAACCGACCCGGAGTGCGGCATCATCTCTTCGGACTGAGGGGGCAGGTGGCTGTGCTGCTGGAAGTTGTGCATCTGAATGTCTTCTACCTTAATGGAGGACTGCTGTCCGGACAGGGGCATTTGGTACAAGCAAGGTGGCTTGACGTCGTAGCCTGTGCTGTAGTTGTCCATAAAGGTACTGAAGCTGGGGAGAGAAGTGGTGGCAGTGATTTCAGTGTTGGTGAGGTCCATGCTAAACTTGACAAACTCTGGAGTTAAGAAATCGGAGCTGTATTCTCCCGAAGAGTGGTAACTGTAGCTCTGAGAAGCGGGGCTGGCTCCTTGAGGCGAGGACCCATACTGCGCCTGAACACAAGGCATGGCTGGAAATGAAACAGGGTAATATACACTCAGCCTGGTCAACTGAACACTTCCTCCCCGGTTCGGGTCCACCTGGAGCGACCTCGGCAGCCCGTGGCAGTCAGACAGCGAGCAGGGGCGCGCGAAAGGCAAGGCAGGAGAGCGCGAGGGCTTCGGGCCAAAACCGTGCAGGGCGAGGAAAGGCTGGTCAAATAAAGATCAAGAGCTAAAAAGCTATTGAGGGTCTACACTACCAGATAATTCCAAGCACCTCCCTCCATCCACACTCATAGCCAACCCCGCTCTGGTGAGCCTCTTATCTGAAGCTCGGGCTCCGCGATATCCTTTTAGAAATGATCCCGCTGAACTTGAATTGAACAATGAGAAAGTTGTTCCCAAAGGT